AAAACTGCTATCATATCTCCCCTCAGTCTTCTTTTCTCAAGGTTAAACATGCCCAGTTCTTTCAGCCTTTCCTCTGAGAGCAAGATTTCCAGTCCCCTGATCAGCCTTGTTGCCCTCGTCCGAACACATTCCAGTTTGTTTGATGTGCAGCTGTTGGTGTTGTATCCTGCTTCTGAGGCTGCCGGAGAAATGGCTTGCTTTGATTGGAAACAGTCCCTTCAATGCACACCTGTAGAATGAAACTGTATAGTGCAATCAGGGCTGTCCCAAGACATTTTGTTGCCTGAGGCAGAGGATAGAATGGCAGGCTAACTATAGACATTTGGGTTCTACAAAGGGTTAATGACTGGTGGCCGATTTTACCCTGCATGCACAATAACAGCTGTTTGTGAATGGAGGCATTATAAGAAGCCAGCATATCAGAGACCAACACAATGGCGGCATTCTCAAAAAAAAACAGCTGAATTTCAAGAGATCCCATATAGCAGCCCTATAGATCAGTAAAAAGTGAGGGGCTAGGGCAAGGAGAGTTCAGTAAGCCACTGAACAATACCCCAGCTGTTCTGTGGAGAAGCTCTGGGGAATTCAATTGCTGCCACCAGATATGATGAAACTAAGGCTGTTGAGGGTAAGGAAACGAGCTGTCTTGGAAAGGAGTCAGGAACAAGTCTAAAAGGAAGGGGGAAGAAAGGTGGAGGTGATAGGGGAAAAGATGTTCCCAGAGCTTTCAGTACAAGGAGAGGGACGTTACAGGGGGAGTCAGGAAGGGAGCAGCACAATAATAGTGGAGGGGAAATGCTTGCCATTCCATGGGGAAGTAACTGCACCTGTTTTCTCTTCCAAAGTGCAGTGCGAGCGGGTTGCAAGCCTGTCTGGTTTGTGTGTGAGGAGATTTGCCAAGATACTTCCTTTTCCAGGAGAGAAAAAATAAATCAGTTTTGTTGCAACAAAACGCCACAAATTACACCTCCAGCTATAAAAAACGAAGAGGAAGTTAAACTAAAATAAAGGGATCCATATCCTTAGTCCTCTTCTTATTGTCAGCTGTGGGTTCATGTTAGGAATATAAGTCTTCAGATATTTTGGTCTTGCAGGAAAAAATGAAGACATTAAAAAGTATTCTTCCGTTGAATGAGGTTAAAAGAGTTTTTGAGCATTTTTTTCACATTTTGATATTTGTTTAAACAAGATTTGTAGAGGTGTTTCTGCAAAATCTTGTATTTTGTACAGAAGACATGTATTTTGTGTATAGTTTTAAACTAGTTTTTAACTACACATCTTAAAGCAAAATACAGGCTTCTCTTGCAAAACCCAGAGCACAAACAATAAAGGTATTCTCCTGATCTTGAAAGAAGACAGTGCTGGTCCTTTCGTTTTTGTGCAGGAGTGAAAAATCTCATTGCTGTGAGATTGAGAACATTTGTGACTTTTGTTCCACGAGTACAGGCACACAAGCATGTTTAGATTTGCAGGTCCTCATGACTCAGGGCCCTTCTGCAGATTGGCACTATATCCGCAGGATAAAGGAGTTTTTTTTTCAAAGGAACTTATGTACATCCAGCCTTCCCTAAGCTGATGTTCTCCTTGGGCATTAGACCACAGTTCCCATTACCCCCAGCTATTCAGAAGAAGTGGGTTTACAGTAAGATTCCACACATCAAATATATTTCTTCTGTATTACTGTACATACATATGTGCCATCAAGTTGGAGCTGACTGATAGAGACCTGAATATGGCTTTCAAGGTAACTCAAGGAGTGGTTTTACCCATGCCATCCATACCTGTGAGTTTCCATAGCCAAGAAAGGATTCTAACCCAAGTCTCCTGAGTCCTAGTCTGTCACTCTATCCACTATGCTACATATTTCTGCATGTGATTATGTCCCCCTGTTGTTTCCTTCTGAATGGAAGATAACTGTTGAGTGTTGCTGTAAAACAAAGTAGAAAGAGATACTATATGGTGTATTTTGTGGGTTCTTTGTCTCCAAAGAAAGAGAATGAGCTAATACCCTTGAATCTGCTATAATACCTGATTTATGATAATAGATTTTGTCAGTAATTAGGGCCATCTGAGGCAGTTGTGGCTTGAAGGAAAGATTCTGATAAATAACTGTGCTTTGCAAGAGCAACATTACTGCCTTCAGGGGAGTCTTCATCATCTGCCATCCCTCAGGCACTGAGTGAGACACAACGTGGCTGTGCTGTTGCCAGTTGCCAGCCTTCCTGAGGCAGTTTGGCTTGGACTCCCTCGGCCTTGCGGGACTGGGCCCTCGCTGCCTCTGGCTGCACCACCCCCTCCTCAACATCAGCCACCTGGATGGGAGGGGGAGAAGGGGATTTAGAAGGGGTTTTTATTGTGATTATCAATTGCCATCAATTAAGAAGAGACCCACAGTGGATCCGAGGGAACAGGAAGGGGGGGATGGTGTTGGAGGGTGCAGCCACTGAGGTGGTGCTGGGTAGGGGAAGGAATGGCGGTGGGGGTAGAACATGCCCATGTAGGAGAAGAGAGGTTAGATATCTTGCATCTGTCCCCTCTTCTAGTCCTACCCCCAACCAGATGGTATCAGGTGACCATATCAACAAACCCTTGAGCCACACAGTGCTGTTGATGAACCCTCTCCCAGCTGTGTCTGCCTGGGTACTCGGTCCAACATCAATGTAGCTCGGAGGGCCAGGGAGGGGGAGTTGCTAGAGCTTATAGGACTTCTATCTCTTCGACTAGGCTTCCTATCCCTTTGAGAGGAGGTCTTGAGGGCCTGTACTGTGTGTTGAACCGAGGTCTTGAGGGCCTGTACTGTGTGTTGGACCTATGAGACAGATTGAGGATTCTGTTGATGTACTGCCCACCCTGCTGTGTACCAACAGTCTGCCTGCCTGAACTGACGGAGGTAGTCTCAGACCTGGTCTTGAGGACTCCCAGGCTGTTGGCGCTGGGGGACCTCAACATCAATTCCTAGGCTGCCTTGACTGGGACGGCTCAGGATTTCATGGCCGCCATGACAACCATGGGGCTGTCTCAATGTGTCATTGGCCCGACACATGAGAAAGGCCATACCTTGGACCTGGTTTTCTCAATGGGACTGGAAGATGGTGATGGTGGTCTGGATGTGGAGAGTCTGGTTGTGACCCTATTGTCATGGTCAGACCACTTCCTGGTCAAGTTTAGTCTATTAGCTTTGTCTCCCCTCTGCAAGGGTGGGGGATCTATTAAGATGATCCGCCCTTGGAGACTAATGGATCCGGATGGTTTCCTGAATACTCTGGGGGATTATCCGTCTGATATGGTCAGTACTTCTGTCGAAGCTCAGGTCACCCTATGGAATAGGGAGATGACCCAGGCGGTTGACACGATTGCGCCTAAGCGCCCTCTCCCTGCATGCAGAGCCCAGACAGCTCCTTGATATCCTTCTGAACTGTGGGTGATGAAGTGAGAGGAGAGATGGCTGGAACACAGGTGGAGAAAATACCACTGGGAGTCCGATTGAACATGACTTAGAGCCCATTATTGTTCCTATTTCGTGGCAATACTGCTGGCAAAACGGCAATATTTCTCCAGCCGCATTGCTTCCTCAGAATGTCGTCCAGCAGAGCTGTTTCGGGTGGTCCGGGATCTTCTTCAACAGGGAAATCCGGTGGAGGTCCCGGACTGCTCATCAGCTCGCTGTGATGAGTTTGCCATTCATTTTGAGGGGAAAATTGCTCATATTCGCAGTCGGTTGCACTCCACCATTACTGCAAAATCGGAGGATGTGTCCAGGGAGCCATGCTTAGGTCAAATATTAATGGATGAGTTTCAATTGTTGAGACCTGAGGATGTGCACAGGGTGCTTGGATCTGTCCGTTTTACCACCACTCCACTTGATCCTTGCCCATCTTGGCTAATTGGAAGATCTGCCAGGGGGGTTTACGCTTGGGTACAGGAGGCTGAAAATACCTCTTTGAGAGAGGGAGTGGTCCCTACCACCTTGAAAGAGGTAGTAATTCGACCGCTCCTGAAAAAGCCTAACCTGGACCCAAGGCTGGTCTTTAACTACCGGTCAGTGGCAAACCTCCCTTATTTGGGCAAGGTGTTGGAGCGGTTTGTGGATCCATTTTCTGGATGCATTTTCTGGATCCATTTCAATCAGGTTTCAGACTGGGATTTGGTACAGAGACTGCCTTGTTCACCCTGTACAATGACCTTTGCTGGGAGAGAGACAGGTGGAGTGTTGACCCTGTTGATACTCCTGGACATCTCAGCGGCTTTCCAGTCTAACACTGGAAGCCCAGGTGGACTCGGTGGCCAGAGGCACCTTCCTTCAGCTGTGGAAATTATACCAGCTACGGCCCTACCTGGATGAGCAGAGTCTCATGACAGTTACACATGCACTGGTAACATCTTGTATAGGTTACTGCAATGTGCTCTACGTGGGGCTGCCTTTGAAGACAGCCCAGTGACTGCAACTGGTCCAGATTCGAGCTGTGCAGCTGGTGAGTGGTGGAGCTGCTAGGGGACACGTCAAGTCGATTCTGTTTAAATTACATTCGCTACCAAGTGCTTGTTTTGACATATAAAACCCTAAATGGCTTGGGCACTGGATACCTGAAGAACCACCTCCTTCCATATGAACCTACCCGGCACATAAGATCTAGCCAGGGGGCCTTTTTGAAAGAGCCCTCCCTTAAGGAGGTAAGAGGGATGGCTTGTAGACAAAGGGCTTTTTCGGCAGCTGCCCCCAGACCATGAAATACCATCTGAATTGAGATTTGTCTGGCGCTGATGCCGATGACATTTCGGCGCCAGGTCAAAACCTTCCTGTTCCAGAAGGCTTTTAATTGAAATAATATCAACTGTGGGTCCTGATGGCAATTTTAGAGTATATATTTTAATTGTATTTTAAAACTGTATTTTAATTATTGTAAGCTGCCCAGAGACCTTTGAGTAGTGTGGGCGGCATATAAGTTAAATAAATTAATAACGGTGGTGAAATGAAAGCTGGTTTCGTTTTCTTGCAACAGCTCCGGCACCGGCTCCAGCACCAGCACCAGCTTCAGCACCTATGTCTATGCATACTTACACTCCAGCCCAAGCAGAGCCTTCAAGCCGTCCTCCCTGGGTAACAGATGACTCATTCTCCCAGAAATTTGCTCCTGGGAAAACTACCACTACAGTCACTAAGCATATCCTGCCTCGGGGAGCTCCAGTCCCACCACCACCTGCCTCTGCTCCAGCTTACACACCTCCATCGATTTCCGCCTCATCCCAAGCTCCTGCTGTTGCCCGGGGAACCATCCAAAGGGCTGAGCGCTTCCCAGCCAGCAGCCGAACTCCACTGTGCGGACACTGTAACAGCATAATCAGGTAAAGCTCTGTGGGGTCCTCCTGAGGCAGGAGGAGAAAGAGAAAGTATTTCATGGCAAAATAATAAGACTGAAAGGTTTTAGATGGCCCTCTGGGATCCTTTGCAAACTCAGCCAGAATTCATCAGTGAAAAGTTTGATAATGATGGACCCACTGCCTTAGGGGACAGCTGGATTTTCTGACCAATCTTCACCTGCAATTGTCATCCTATAGAGAGTGCTAGCCATTTTTTTTTTGGCCCATCTGAGACAGTGATTAAGACCTACCTGCTTGGGCATTGCCCAGTGCCAATAAATTGTCAAGTTGGATGTGCCCCAAAGTGTCCTGTAAAGTAGAAGGATAGTGTTGTAATCCTCATCTTCTCTTGGACTACTTTTTAAGGAGTACAATTGTTCTAGTCCACAACCAACGTGTCCTAGGCCCATACTGGTTGCACAATTTCAAACCTTTTTGGAATTTTGGAAATGTGTCATTTTCAAGGTGTAATTCCAAACTATGGTGATACTGCATTTGGCTCTCCTAGAGCTAAGAGTTTGGCCCAATCTGTAAGGGAACAGTTTGGTGGACTAGATGGAGCATTGGTCTAGCTCTCCTCATGTGCTTACTATCATTTTATGGCCAGAGAACAGAGATTCCTGGGGAAGTGAACAGATGTGGAAAGTGTTTTCAGAAGATTACAAGTTGAGGAATTTTTCAGTAAGATTTATTCAGGTCTTGGAACTGTCCTACAAGGGTTTCCCCGCCCCCTCCACAATTGTCCTAGTAAATACAACATTTCCAGATTTATTTTTTAATGTACCAAGGAGTTCCATATTTGGCTTTGTTTTCAGTCTTAACAGTGCTGCTTTGCGTCAGAGATTCTGTTGGCTGTTTTTGCCAACAGAATCCCTGCCTCTTTGACTCTAGATATTTTAGGAAATTAGAAGGATGTTATCAGAGTAAAGTCAGAAGAGGAGAAAAGAAGAGAAAGAGAATCATTGCTGGAGAACCGTGTACATATTATTATTATTACTCCTTTTGGAGAGTGGGGAAATAAGAGCATACATATCATGATAACTCAGTAGGAACTTCTCGCCTTCTACCCCAACCTTCTCCAACATAGTATCCTCCAGATGTATTGGATTACAACTCACACTATTCCCCAGCCAGCTTGGACATTGTTAGTGATTATGAGAGCTGTAGTCCAGCATTTCTGCAGGATGCTGTGTTGCTCTCCCTTATTCTTACTTAGTTTTCAGAACTGGTGTATATTGAAGAAAAATATAATCTGGGTCATAAAGACAATTGCTATGAGATCAGTGGAAGTGTATGAAGTAGGATAATCATATTGTAGTCAAAGCTGGGGGACATTACCTTTTGGGCTACAACTTCCCAAATCCTCTGTTTAACATGGCCACCATTCTGGCTAGTGGTTCCTGGGATCTCTTGCCCAAAAGGTGGCTTTTCTAAGCTGTGGCCCCACGGTGTCCGATTTCTCTGGTCCCATTTGTCTGCTGCGTCTTCTATGTATTTCTTTATGGTCTACAGATTCCTCTTTCCCAAAGGCTGAATGTAAAGAAACAGAAAGGACAACCCCTGTTGCTTAGCACAGTAAATTTTAATATAGTAGGGCCATTGAATCAATGGATATTCGTGGGAACTCTTCCGCAAGTTCCACTGATCCAAATGGCCTACTCTAACGGTGGCTTATCACACTAACATGAATAACATGATCACTCTGGAAAATAATTCTCAAACTTTATAGTTGTCAGACTAAACTTTCCAGGATACATTAGGAAAAGAAGCCACAAAGGTTCAAGTGGCACACAGTGAATGCAAATTTGTGACATCATTCTCTCTTGAGTGTCTCCAACCTTTTGGACATTGCTGCCCTGCAATTAAATTGATGGTTCAATTTTATAGGGGACCTTTCCTGGTAGCCATGGGTCGTTCTTGGCATCCAGAGGAATTCAACTGTGCCTACTGCAAGACATCCCTGGCTGATGTATGCTTTGTTGAAGAACAGAACGCTGTGTACTGTGAGCGCTGCTATGAACAGTTCTTTGCCCCAACCTGTGCCAGATGTCATACCAAGATCATGGGGGTAAGTCCACCAGCAAACACAGCAAAATGCCTTTAAGAGGCATGTTTTCTGACAGACTTAAGCCTACAATCTAGGGCAGCCATTCTCAATGGGACCCATATGGCCTACTAGGGAACCATAGCACATTTGAAGGGGGCCACTGACTGGAAACAATTCTTCACACACCACCTTATAAGGTTCATTATGTGACTCATACAATCCTGATTTGGCCTATATTTCTTTCATCTTGTGTTAATAGCCATGGCCAGAAAAAAAGAAAAAAAGATTGAAAATGACTGATCTAGAGCTATGTGAGGGGTTAAATATCTATAGGCCTCCAGATATTTTCCAGCTCCAAATCCCACTCAGTACAGAATCTTGGCACAGAATCAGCAGCTGGCAAGCCCAAGGCAGCTGGAGAGGGATACAGGATTTGGCCCAAGGAGGCTGGAATTGATGCCTGGTGAGGTGGGGGGGATGCCCACACAGGTTGCACATAGCAGCAACATAGACTGTGTCCCTGCAGATCAAACCGCTGAGCCCTCCAGAACTACGTAAGCCAGCAGGCAGTCAGGGAGGCAGAAGGTGGAACAAACTTAGCCCGCCGGGACTATGTAACCCAGCAGGTTCTATAAAAAGCCTTTTCTTGAGCAGCTTCTTAAAGGTTGGGCAGGAGGGGACCAGGTGCAGCTTAATCAGGAGCCCATTCCAAAGGATGGTGCCACAACCGAGAAGGCTCAATTTCTGGTGAATGTCCTTCTGGCCTCCCTTAGTGTGGCTGCCCATGAGAGCATGGCCTGCAAAGACTGAGTGGCCGAGTTTGATGTGCTTAAGGAAAGGCACTCCAACAAGTAACAAGATCTCCAAAATATGAAGGGCTTTGTAGGTAAGAACCAAAACCCTGAATCTGGCCTGGAACATCATAGGTAACCAGCGTGGCTGAGCCAGGACTGATGAAATGTGGTCAGATTTACTCACACTCAATACCAGCCTGGCAGCTGCATTCTACATCTGCTCTCGTTTCCAGGTCAGTATCAAGGAAAACCCCCATGTAGAGGGCATTGTAGTAGTCTATCTTTGAGATCACCAGCACATGCACCAACTTCTTCAGGGCCCCTTTGTCCAAGTAGGAGTGGAGCTGGGCAATCAGCCACAGTTGGTTGAAGGCTGACTTGGTCATGGCTGCAATCTGGGAGTCCCATGGGTGAGCCAGATCCAGGAGCAAACCCACTTAGAGAAACAGTTTGCTAACCTGTCAGAAGGGGGCCAAGAAGAAGAATTATCCCTCTTATTCAGGTTCTGGTTCAGTCTGTTGGCCTCGTTCCATTACAGAATTGAGGCCAGGTACTGCTTGAACACCTGAATGACACCAACTGCAGAAAAATGTAAAGGAGAGATGCAGTTGTGTGTCCTCAACATATTGATGGTAATGCACTCCACATCTCCAGATTACTTCTTTCAGTGGCTTAACATAGATGTTAAATAGCACTGGGGAGATTGACAACCTCGGAGCACCCCCCCACAGTTGAGGGCCCAAGGGCCTGACAATCCCTCTCCAAGCTGCAATCTCCGGATTTGGCCATTAAAGAAGGATCAGAGCCAGCTGAGCACTTGCCTTCCTGACCCCCACACCTGAAAGTCTATCCAGGAGGATACCATGGTTGATGGTATCAAAAGCTGCTGGGAGATCCAGGCGTACCAACAGGTTTATTTCTCCCACATTGGCCTCCCTTAAAAGATCATCGTGCAGCATGACCAGTGCTGCCTTAGTACCATAACACAGCCTGAACCGGGACTGGAATGGATCAAGACAATTCTTCTCCTCCGCCATCATTCACTCGACTACCTTGCCCATAAAAGGGGAATATTGGCAACAGGCCTTAAATTGCCCATTTCAGGATAGGCTGTATGAAAGTTTTCTTCAAATGGGGAAAATAACCCTCAGTGAAGCATTTATGATGTCAACAGCTCAATCCATGGTAACCCCATTGGCTGCTTTTAAAAGCCATGATGGGTAAGGGTTGAGCACAGAAGTGGCAGGTCTGCAGTGTACCACTACCCTGGACACCTCCTCTGATGTTACAGGTTGAAACTGAACCAGATGGGCAGAGGAATCGCAACCAAACTGTCTGTGGAGTCCAGATCACGTTGGATGGTCTCAATTTTAGATTTTTAAAAACATTGTCAACACTGGTGAAATCACCCGGATGAGGCCGTTGCTGACCAGGAATAGTGAGATTACTAGCCACCCAGAAAAGCTCCACTTGCTGGTTTTCAGTCTCACTAGTGATCTTGGCATATCTGTTGGTCAGGATCTTAACTGCAACCAGATTATGCTCCAATGGCTCTTTCCTCCACCTACTGTCTAACCATCTCGTTAACTACACAGCTTGAACCTCCTCCACAAAACAGGAGAAGGTCAAACTCTGAAGCAGAAAGGGTGTTTGGGAGCAATTGTGTCAATGGCTCAAGCCACATGACTAGATAGGCAGGATATAAATACAATAAATAAATAAATAAATAAAATTGATATACCATCTACTGACCTGGACTTTGAAAAGATTGCCAACCAGATCAGTCAGAAATATTCCCAAGGCCTTCCAAAACCTATTGGGTTCAAGAAGCCTCTGAGGGCCAACCATTTTCACTGGTCAGTTCTCCCCACAGGAGGAGATACCGAATTTTTCGATGTATAAGATTATACTTTTCTCTAAAACATTTAGATTAAAAATTTAGAGTCCTCTTATACATGGACGTGGTGGCGCTGTGGGCTAAACCGCAGAAGCCTGTGCTGCAGGGTCAGAAGACCAAGCAGTTATAAGATCGAATCCATGTGACGGAGTGAGCGCCCGTCACTTGTCCCAGCTCCCGCCAACCTAGCAGTTTGAAAGCATGGAAATGCGAGTAGATTAATAGGAACCACCTCGGTGGGAAGGTAACAGCGTTCCGTGTCTAAGTCGCACTGGCCATGTGACCACGGAAGATTGTCTTCGGGCAAAATGCTGGCTCTATGGCTTGGAAACGGGGATGAGCACCGCCCCCTAGAGTCGAACACGACTGGACAAAAATTGTCAAGGGGAACCTTTACCTTTACTATACATGGAAGTAAGGAGGGGGAGGGATCAAAGAGCTTTGATCCCTGCTTTCCCCCTCCACTTTCCTCATAAGTGCTTTCTCCCTCCATTTTCCTTGCAAGAAAGAGCTTTCTGCCTCCACTTTCCCCACAAGAAAGTGCTTTTTTGCAAGGAAGGTGCTTTCCCCTCCACTTTCTTTGCAAAAAGTGGTGGGGGAAAGCAGGAATCATCAAAGTGATTTATCAAAGCAATTCCTGCTTTCCCCTCCACTTTCTTTGCAAGAAAGTGGAGGGGGAAAGCAAGAATCAAAGCACTTTGATCCCCGCCCTCCCTCTCCACTTTCTTGCGAAGAAACAAATTCTGGGTTAAAAAGGGGGGGTGTCTTATACATGGGAGTGTATTATACACAGAAAAATATGGTGACTACAGACAAGTTAAATCTCAGCAGGGAGTGATACCATGACAGTGTCACCTTCAAATCACATCCCACCCAGGCAAACTAGAACACCAGGTCCAGATTGGGTCTGGCTTTATATGTGGAACCGATGACATGTTACGACAGGTTCATGGACTCCTGGGCTCCACCATACGGATTTTTATGTCAACCAATAAGTGACATGTCCCTGGTTGCACCCTGAATTTCATTCCTCTGTGTGCTCCATCACCTAATCTGAGCTTATTTAATAGGTTGTTTTGCATACAGTCATTTAAGTTAATTAAACTAGCTGACAATGAGTCACTAATGAGACATGTTACTAACATAAATTATGTTGGGCTGCCAGCAATAGTGCAAAGGACAGGATGTCACATTAAATTACATAATATCTGTGTAATCTAAAATCTGGAAAGAGGAAGCATTTCCCATCACACCATCGAAGCCTTTGAACAGTTGCCTGAAATGTAATTAGTTGTTGCCAGACCTGCAGTTAATGCATTAAGTTCTCCAAATACATTCACTCCTCCATTTTTCTTTCCACTTGGTTTGTTGACATAGGGATGGAACTATCAAGCTGTTAATTATCTGAAAAATGTTGACAAAGTAATTTGTTACGTTATTGTAACACTGATCATTGTTCCTTTTTTGATACTTTCTGTTGCTCCCCCCCCATTTATTTAAGAAAATTTAGGATTGAGAAAAATGGCACAACATCTGAAAAATTCCCATCACAAAGCTTCTTAAAATACCCCATAATTCCCTTAAAATGTCACTTTTGAAAGAGACAACAGTACTTATTCTACCAATAAATTAATGTTATTCATACTTATCTTGCTACTTTCAAAATGTAGCTTCATTATACACATACAAGTTCCCCTGCCCCCCATCAAAATAACCGGTTGCTCATTATTTCCAAACTTTGGTTAGTTGTACTTTTTTAAAAAAACAGATGAGTATTCTTTTTTTAAAAAAAAATTGGAGATGAAGTCACATATAATTTGGCAATTCATGATATTCATGTGTAATTGTTTGTTCCTTTATTTCTGGCCACTGTGGAGCAGTTTTTTCTCTGGCAGTCATGTGATGTTGTATACTGAGTAGTGTTAACTAATCCTAGGTGCTGTGCATGCACAAATTCCTTCAGTTAAGAAATGTGATTATTTGTGTGGGCTGTTATAATTGTTGTAGACATTATGAAGTACTGTTTGGACCACTGAGAGGCAAAATAAAGACCATGTTTATCATGCTTTCCTTATGTTTTGTCATATATGATTTTAAATTTGCAAATCTGATTGCTGGGGCACTTATCTCTGAAGGGAGTTTACCACCACACCTCCCTTTTTGTGTCCCTTTGGTAACAGACAAAAGGGTGCTGGAAGGCCCTTCCATTCTTTTCCACCTCACCTTCATTTTCTTTGCCAACAGTTTTAACGTTGCTTTAGTACACTTTATTGTTAATCCAGTTAATTACATTTTAACTCTAAAGTGCCCTGAGAACATGGCTAGAGGACAGCCTGTAAATATTTGAGATGAACACAGCAATGGAGTTGTTACAATAAAATACACTTTGAAATACACTTCTTTCCAAGTGTCATTTCAGTGTTTCCCAGAATAAAACTCTAAACCTGGCTAAAACCTATGCCTCATTATTGAAATCTCTTTTCCTCGTTCTCCCCTGAACTTTGAACTGAGACTCTTTCAGAAGGATGCTCTCTGTTGTCTGATCTTAAACGCATAAATGCTCTCTGCAACCGGTGTCTTACAGTAATTCCACATTCAGATGTCTAATAGATTTGGGGCTTTCTCACAGATGAACAAAGATAACAGTAAATGGTTATTGTGGGTTTTTCGGGTTCTTTGGCCGTGTTCTGAAAGTTGTTCTTCCTGATGTTTCACCAGTCTCTGTGGCCGGCATCTTCAGAGGACTGGAGTAGGAACTCAGTCCATGAGTTCACCATCAGATCCCGGCCGTGAAAGCCTTCGAGTATACCAGTAAATCTTTGTATTGATTTCTTTTAAAAATAGACCTAAGATGATGCCTAAACCTTGTGGTGGCTGAGCATAAAGCTTGAAGACTGTAAATGCCAGTTTCACAGTAGTGCTAGGCCTTCCTGAAGCTGATGTTCTTTGGATGTATTGGGCTGCAACTCCCAGGATCCTCCAGGCAGCATAGCTATGCTGGGAGGGGGATTTTGGCATTTATTGTCAAACACAGGGCACCAGAATGGGCAAGACTTGACTGTTCTTTCCACTACAACTTAAAGCTCAGTCGCTGCATTGGTGTTAAAATGGGGGGGAGGGGGATTTTGGCATTTATTGTCAAATACAGGGCACCAGAATGGGCAAGACTTGATCTGGAAGACTTGATCTGGAAGACTTGATCTGGAAGCCAATTCTAGCCCACAGTGGGTCCCAAGGAAGCGGCTACAACTTAAAGCTCAGTCGCTGCATTTGTGTTAAAATGGGAGCAGCAGGATATGCATTACATTGACAAAGCTTCATGCTTAATTGCATCCCCACCAGCTGGTTCCTTCCACTTCTGAGTTCCAGTAAATACATATATATATTCTACCCATCCCTACTGGCTGGTTTTCCCTGATCTTAGGTTTCAGTTGTGTGTTTGATGGGAGGAAGCACTTGATGGTTCAGACCTTAAAGACACCCTTTCTCTTCCAAAGCTCCAGGCTTCCCCCCTCCCCCTTCAGGCCCCACATAGTTGTGCTGCCTCCCACCACTCTTGGCTGCTTGGCTGGCTCAGGCCCCACATAGTTGTGCTGCCTCCCGCCACTCTTGGCTGCTTGGCTGGCCTTCTGTCTGTCTCTCTCTCTCTCTCTCTCTCTCTGGGAGTGTGTTTCAGCTGGTGCAAAATCCATCTGCTCTGCTTTGCCTTTCAGGAAGTGATGCATGCCCTGAGGCAGACTTGGCACACCACTTGCTTTGTCTGCGCTGCCTGCAGGAAACCATTTGGGAACAGTCTTTTCCACATGGAGGACGGAGAGCCCTACTGTGAGAAAGGTATTGCACGCACAGCAGTGCGACTGAAATCCATCTGACAGTGTTACTCTGTGACGATGGTCTTGTTGTTCTCGATAAAAACGGCACCTCCCAGACAAAAACAAGATTTAACTGTGCAAGATAATGCGTCTGCTGAGCTTCAGCTCCATTCTCTCTACCCACCCGCCCCTTTTAATGTGTCCACCTTTAGAAAATATTAAAGGGATTCCCTTCACATTCACTAACTTTGCTCTTGTCAGCTAACTTGGAGACAAAATAAAATTTGTTTTTATTCCTCTCTCTGTTCCTTGATGATTCACTGGCCTCAAGACATAGTAGGTAGTAAGAAAGGATTAAAGCTTCCACAATTTTAGATTAAATTCCACATTTTAGATTAAAGCTTCCTCAATTCGCCTAGGAAGGTGGCGAGGGACCTATTTGGAAGGAAAAAAATAGGGTGAGCTTTTAAAACAAGGGTAGGCCAAGAGCAGTCCTCAAGCTATCCTTGAACTGCAGCTCCCATCTTCTCTAGCTCAGCGGTTCTTAACCTTTGTTACTCGGATGCTTTTGAACTGCAACTCCCAGAAACCCCAGTCAGGACAGCTGGTGGTGAAGGCTTCTGGGAGTTGCAGTCCAAAACTCCTGAGTAACCCAAGGTTAAGAACCAGTGCTTCTAGCTGATCCAGTCAACCCTACTGTTAATCTGAACGAGGAATGAGGTAGGGGTCTCAAGCCACCAGGATGGCAAATTTGCTACTTCCTTGTCAGCTCCAACAGGACTCCTGCTGCTCTGGAACGCTGGCACTAATCTGTGCTCCACTGCTTTCCCAAGCAGGCTACTTCATGAATTCTGGGCTCAGAGGCTTTTGAGAGTCCTCTACATAAAGAAAGGAAGAAGCAGCAGTAGCAGCAACAGTGCTAGTGGTTCATACACCCTGCCCTATTAGTGATGATAAGGACACCACAGCAGCCATGATCTACATACAAAAAGTAGAAGGATATACCAGCACCTTTGATGGCAGTGATAAATAGGACATGGTGGGTCAAACCTTTCCTCGAGAAGAGGAAATGTTGAGCACTTCTATTGTCTCTTTTGCTTTGTGTAAGGCTTTTACTATTTAAATTGTCTATATTTTTTTTTAAATTGTACTTTTTAATGATTATTAGCCGCCTAGTGATGGCAGTGATAAATAGGACATGGTGGGCCAAACCTTTCCTCAAGAAGAGAAGAGGAAATGTTGACCACTTCTAGAGTAATTCTTTGTTTCAAATACCTTTCTGCAGAGGGTCTTCAGAGCCAGGCCCCATGGGAGATGTATCTAAGAAAATATTATATGAGGGTCTTCAGAGCCAGGCCCCATGGGAGTTGTATCTAAGAAAATTTTATATCTTCCTTCCTTTCCTTCCTTTGCTGAGTTGGTGGGTTTGTTCCTTCCTTTCCTTTCCTTTCCTTCCTTTGCTGGGTTGGTGGGTTTTGGTGGGGGGGGCAGTTTACAGCTGCACCACAGTGTTAGTGGTTTCTGCCTCATGCAGCAGCTTGGGCCACCCCATAGTGAATGGTGAGGAATGTTTGGAGTTTCAGTCCATCAACTTCTGGAGGACCATACTTTGGCTACCCAGATTTAAAACACAACCTGAATCAATGCATTCATGGTGTTAATGTTGCTTTGCTCTGGTAAGCTTTACTTTAAGTATTTAAGCCTTACTCTGTACAGCATAAATACTTCTTCCATTCACTCCTGCTTTATGTCTATTACAACCCTGTGAGCTTGGTGAAGCTGAGAGACCAGCTAGTCCAAACTTAGCCAGTAACCCTTGTGGCAAAGCAAACTATTTCTCAGAAACTATTTCTCTCTGATTTCACTTTAGCCAGTATTTCAGTTACCTCCACAGTCAAAGACATGGTTCGTAAAAGTGAAAGGGCAATTGGTGTGTTGTAAAAGCCATTCCAGGAAAGCTCACGGGGCAGAGAAGGAATCTGAAACAAAAATAAGCCCATGCCTTCTTACCCAGTAGGTCTCTGTTTGGAAGGAAAGTTAATACTGCTTATCTTCTAAATTTAGTTTTTATTTGTTTCTTCTGCTTCTAGACTACGTTGCCTTATTCAGCACCAAATGCCACGGATGTGATTTCCCTGTTGAAGCAGGAGATAAGTTCATCGAAGCCCTTGGACATACTTGGCATGATACCTGCTTCATTTGTGCTGTAGGTTTTTTTTAATTAATGAAAACAGATTAGGACTTCTTAAGCTTGATATTTGACTTGCACTCTAGCATTTGGACCATGGAAGAGAGAGAGATCCCATATTTAGTTATTTCTGTTTCTGTACCACCCTATTAGCGTTGTCACTCTTTGGGCAGTTTACAATATGCAATAGAAATCTAACAATATAATAAATACTAAAGGTACAATAAAATATAATTAAACCCAGTTATCACGAACTGAAACTAGTTTGAAATACAAATTACACAAATTAAAACCCATTTGAACCATATCTGGATTCTGCCCCTGCACATTGAGGGCTGCCATGACAAAATAAAGGGTTCTAGATTATTTTTATGTGTTGTTTCTTAGACTGTTAGATAGCTTAGTGGTTTAAGCATTTGACTATGTAGCTAGAGGTTGGGAGTTCAATTCCCTGTATACCTCCTTGACAGGGCTGGACTAGATAATCCATAAGTCCCTTCTAGCTCTGCAATTCTAAGATGATGGTTGTTGTTATTGTTAACACAAAAATGTTTTCACTTGATGCTGGCAGACTAGTGGAAGGTAAGTCATTGAATATTTGAGTATTCTCCACATAGAAAACTCAATGCAAATGGAAGAAACGAGGAATGAGCCAATGCGGTTTTTACCTTGAGTACCTGAAACCCCAAGGATATATTTCAAGCACCCCCCTTTGCTCCATGCTGTTGATACTTCCATGCATTCAGCACAGAACAAATCCATCCTTAATATAGCTCTTGATGACAGTGAGTTTTGCTTGAGAGCCACTTTGGGAATATATGGGTGCAAGAAAGATAGCCTCTGGTCCTCCCCATATTTCCTGCAGCCAAGAGAGAGAGAGATACGAAAAGTGTGAGCTACAAGGAGATCTCCTGATATCACCTTGTTTTGATTTGTATGCTTCTAGATTGGCACTACATGGATGCTTTTTGGGAGTAGATACCAACAGTTGCAGACCTCTGCTATACAATGGTTGCATGGTTAGGATTAAGAGGTTGAGATCTTAAACCTAACCGTACATTTCCCTTTACCGTAGAGGTCTGTAACTGCATTGCAAAGGTAACCATCAGCCTTATCTCAAAGAAAGAGAAACATTTTTTCTAGCAAGAGCCATAGACCCATAAGGAAAGTAGAGGGCATAGCTAATGATAGGTAGAGCTTAGTAGGTGGAGCCAAACATACAGAAGATGGGATTTGCAGTGTTACCAGTGGCCATAAGTAAAAGACTCTGTGCTATTGTATTCTCTGCAGTCTAAAAGATTGACTGGAAACTTCCTAACATATCAGTGTACAGTGGTACCTCAACTTACAGATGTCTCCACTAGCGAACGTTTCGAGTTACGAATGGCTCCGTTCTCACAATGTTGCTTCAACTTGCAAACAGAGCCTCAACTTGTGAATGAAAAAAAAACCCCTTTCCTGCCCTTTTTTTTAAACCTCAGTTCATCTTAGGTCAAAAGAAGAAAAAATTTTAAAAAATTCTCCCCCAGTGGTAGAGTACGGATTAACTGGCTTTGCATAAGTTCCTATGGGAACTAATGCTTCGACTTAAGAATGGCACCTCGACATAAGAACGAAAAACAGCAGGTACGGATTAAATGGTTTTTGGAAAAGTTTGCCTTGACTTACAAACTTTTTAACGTACAAATGCCGTTCCAATACAGATTATGTTCGTAAATTGAGGTACCACTGTATAATCACTGAAAATCCATTTTCTTCTTCTTCATGAGATCTAGATTACATTGCTTTCTGTTGACGTCCTGTTGACTTATTCCACCCCCCAACCCCCTTTATAGTATACATTGATGGAAATACAGGCCATCTTTGCTTGAAAAATATTTTTTATATCTCTGCTTAATGTCACCTAGTGAATCAGACTTTTTCAGTATGTGATTGTTCTGATTTTCAGGTGTGCCACGTGAATTTGGAAGGTCAGCCGTTTTATTCAAAGAAGGATAAGCCACTATGCAAGAAGCATGCACATGCTATTAATGTCTAAAGGAAGAGCCAGAAGCTAACAACAAAGTGACAAGAATGGCGGCTGATTCAAGGATTGAAACATGGATAACTCTCATGGTGGGGAGGGGCAGGGGAGATAATGAATTATGAACACTGCTAAAATTGATTTCATTTGCTTTTATATGTGCAGCTCTTGGTCTAGTGTATTTAATACCAAACAAATGAATTCACATTCAAACATTGTTGAAAATTTTTGAGCAAAACGAACAAAGCTAAAAACAATTTATAAAACCGTATCCTAAAATTATTTTTTTAACATCTTATATGTTTAATATGTTCACCAAGGCAGCCTTTAGGCTGCTCAACAGTGATATAAAAATAAACAGAAAATCATTCTTAGTATTATGATACAATGTTGATGTGCCAAAATAATAAGTGTAGCATAACTTTTAAGAATTGTTCTTAGCTACAGGTCACTAAAATGTCCCTCACAAAACAGATTTTTATGTCATGAATCTTATTCTGAGTTGTATAGACATTACATAGACTTTGTAATGGCTTTGATAGGTAAGATGCAATTAACTAAAAGCACCCCCAGTGGTTTATTCAAGAGAGGCTTGAATCCAGACAAAACTGAGCCCATTCAAATTTTTCCATAGTGACATGAGAACTGCTTCCATGGGGTATATGTTGTTCTTCATCACCCTGCTCATCTGTAAAAGTGGGAGAGGAACCAATGGTATGGGTTTTTTCCTTATGTGACTATTGTGGCCCCTCTCCCAATGATATGTATTAATGGTAAAATGAATTATATCATTGGTTCCCCACACATGATCCTTTATGCTTGCATTATCAGAGCAACAAGACTATCCTAGGAAAACACTAAGACACTGCTATGAGTATGAGTTGATCCTAGTATTGGAAAGTAGGAGCACAGCATTATTTTGCATGTGCCCAAAGCTGCCTGGGAGCCATTTCCATGTGATGCTGTGCCATGCGCATGTCATGTGTTTGTGTGAATATTGCATTGTGAGGCTCATTGGATGCCTCTTCCAGCCAAAAGAGTGGCATTTGGGTGGTGGTCATGGAGAAATAGCCACAGTCTTTACCTTCTAAGTGGCTGTGATGTCCACCTAAACCTTGTCACTCTGTGCAATATAACCATAGGGGAGGAGAAAGGACTTGTTTGTGATAGTGATTGGTAGAAGGGAAGAGGGGAAAAAAGATGTTGGGTGATATTAATTCCAGTTGCAAAAGGAGAAACGGTAGAGAGGATAGAAGTTTAAATATTTATAGCAAATTACCTCGTTCAGAGTATAAGAAGGGAGCTTGATTTCCACAGTTTGCTGTTATAAAAGAAAGATCAAGGGCTAGAAATGATCTATGTGGTGTTTCTTTCTTTAGCAGAGTAACTTTCCTTCTGGTTCCTCCCTTTGTTTTGTGGGTTAGTGGTTAACTTGTAAGACAAGAGTCAGTAGACGAAATGTCTAGTATGAGATCTATCCAAAAAAGGGAAAAGAAGCGAAAGGGGATTCCAATTGTATTTCGATGTCTTTGAGAATTTGTACTTTGTTTCTCCTACAATTGATAACTATTTACAGGGCAGTCCTCAATGAAACACATGTCCTGTTCTAACTGTGATTAGATTAGATTCTTTCAGTATGACATCTCTGAAGTGTAATTGTGTTTCCAGCTATACAGAAATAACTCAGAATAGTATTAAGGTTACATCCCTTTTTCAGATTTTGAACAAATATATTTAATATTTCAGCACATACATACGCAAACTTTTGTACTGTTGCAGCTGGCAATACATCTTTATTCTGTCAGTTATATCTTATGATTTGGAATATTTTAAGCAGGTAGTGTCAGATAATAGTTGTATATAAATAAGCAGGGATTCATGTCTACTCAGATGATCATCCTAAACTGTGACATAGGCATGGAAGGGTTCCCACCCCTCATGTCACTGGAAAAAAATGGCCATAAAGTTCAAGCTGTTTACTCCAACGAAATCCAAATGTTATCTTCTCCAATAAGTAGCTGCAGCACTGGAGCTATTTATACTTACTGCAATATATACATATTTGGCATTCATTAAAAAAGAAAATCCATAATTTGGTTTTAGTAAAAGATAAAGGTTCCCCTTGACATTTAGTCCAGTCGTGTCCGACTCTAGGCCATGGTGCTCATCCCCATTTCCAAGCCATAGAGCCAGCGTTTGCCCAAAGACAGTTTCCGTGGTCACGTGGCCAGCACTACTAGACATGGAACGCCGTTACCTTCCCACCCATTAATATCAACCTATTTTGTTTTAGGGAGGTTTTTCATTTGAGCAGTACTCCTTAATATAGGTGCATTTTCTAATTAGTGATATCGTGGCAAGAAACCCTGCTTCATAGAGTGTTGTCTTTCTCTCAGAACACTAGGCCTTATTTTAAGAAATGTAATACAGGAAGCACTTTTTAAGGTCCCATTTGATTGCAGGAGAAGAGTGTTAAGCATGTGCTTTATTTTCTGAAATTACCCAGGCTGAAAAGTGCTGAACTTAGGCAGGTTGCAGCCCTGTTTTGTTTTGCGTTTTATTTGTTTGTTTCTAGAACTGGGAGGACATAATGAAACTTCAATGTTTGTAATGCACAAGAATTTTCTGCTTGCATTCAATCCATATTTTGGTTAGTTAAACACATTTGACTTCTAGTATATAAACAAGTACTGCACTTTACTTATTGATCTTGTCGTTTTAGCAAGGACTGCAGAACTGTTTGATTGCTTATTTTTAAAAAGAATCTTTAGCATTTTAGTGAAACTTTTTTAAAAAAAAGACAATGGTTTCCTCTTTGCAGTTAGTATCTTGGTGAAAATTACTGTTAAACGATGACAGTGTAGCTTCCTATATTGGAACGCAACAACACACAAATGACACCCTTAACTAAGTGCTTTATTCCACTTCAGGCCCTCTCTGTCTGGCACTTTCCACTAATCAAATGCCAGCCAGCTCTCGATTGCTTCACAACAGAAGGACAATAAAACCTTACACTAGGTCAAGGATCGACTGCACTGTGAGAGCACTGTCATTACTCATTGAGTTGTCTTTTGGGAGGTGGGGCATTCTGATGTTTCCAGGATTGGCTTTGTTGCTGCTTTTTGCATATGCGGGGGGGGGGGCATGATGTTCCAGTAACACTTCCAAAATCAAAAGGGCAAGAATCATGGGGGACCCTTCTTTACCATCTCCATGGTCCGTAAAACTGTCAAATGTACAAACATTTATTCACGTGACTTGGGTCGTTTCCTAAAGAGCAGAATCCATTCTTTAACTATACTACTTTATACATCCCTGCCAGAAGCTTCTCTGTGTTTATACGGTAATTTTTAGTGTGTGAAAGGGTTTGCTACAGACAGCTTCCCTTCTGAATAACTTTGTGGGAGTGCTATATTTAGATGAATAATACAGTGGAGAGAAAAAAGGGCTCTTAACGGGAGATTTTCAGTCCTCTTCTATGATAAGAAACCCATTGGGAAGAAGGAATCAAGATACTTCACAAGTCACACTGCTCATGCAAGTCAACAGTGTGCACGAGTGGGCTATCATTACAAACAAGCTCCTCCGAAATGAAATCTTCAGGGACTCTTTTTGGTCAAATATATCTAGAATCAAAGTGATAATAGCAACCCTATCTGAATGTTTAGAATTCAGAAAGAACACAGACAAGGAGGGCAACTGTACCAGCAAAGCAGCCACTCACTCCTCTTTTCTCTCATTCTTCTCACATACATTCTTAAGAAAAGACAAAGGTCCCCATGTGATTCAGAACGTTGCTTTGTTTTTGTTTTTTGTTTGTTGGTTGGTTTTTTGTTTGTATTCTGGATCACTTGGAAAAAAACCCACTAATGGAAGGGATGTATGATGGAGACTGCTTTCCTATAAAGTCTGGAGTCATAAAGTCTGCCCTTCATGTGTATAGAAATACATGGCAGGGGGATCAGGCTAGGACAGCAACCTTGATTCTGAGCACTCGAACAGGACTTGTATTTGAGTAAAATCTCTCTCATCTGTCTTGCCAAGACCACTCTTTCTGAGAAGAATGAGATGCATAAATAATACAGAACTGGGCTTTCATGAAATCATAATAAAATTGCTGCAGGGAGAAAATATGCTTGGCAGGTTCAGTGTGTGCTATTTTTAACTAGTGTTAATGTTAAAGTGATCTTGTTACTATTGTATTTCACCGGAAACACTGGTGACTTTTGCCTTTTTCTTTTTGGAAGTCAAATACTGTACCTGTGAATGACCAAATGATAAAATTTATGTTACATCATTTGAGGTTTCATAATTAGATTGCTCATGTGTAACTAAACATTAGACCTATTGCTTTCTTTAATGATGAAACCTGAAAATATATAAAACTTTCTGGATGCAATCCATAGCCTACTGATTTCTGTGGTAGAACTTCCCTTTTATTTTAATAATTCGGGCTGCACCAGCTTTGTCTTTCCTTTTGTTTCAAAGACAATACATTTTGCATAAATCATAGTAATTCTGAAAAAAAAATTGCTGAATACAATTTTATTATTCCATATAAAAACATGTTTGCAAAACAAATACTATACAGGCAAAGAAAATGGCTTAAGTTTGGTCCTTCAAAGGTCAGTGACTTGGATGAAACTTTTAATTCAAAGTTCTTGTTTTATTTGACCTTATCTGTGTTACAGCACCAAATAGAAGTTAGCACCATCTACTGGACCAGTGTTAATTAGGGAAACCTAGTGCTAGCAGTAGATGCGAATGTTTTGCTTAAAAATAATGTTATTAACATTTGAAACGGAGTGATAATGTTCTGTGCAACAACCACACTAGGCATCTTGCTTTTAAAAATTTATAGAAGTACTGATAAGACAACACAAGTGACCTTACTTTTTCATAGGGTTTGGATTTGATCATTTCAGATGCTCAGTGTAATGTGTGGCTTTGTGAGATGTGAGTGAATATACCTGCATGGATTAACTGTGCCAACACAAATAAAATATTACCAAAACAGAAAACCTGTGCAAATTCTTTCTGACGTATGTGAGGAATGTAAGCAGACTTCTCAAGTATGCTTTGACAGTTGGATATGTTAATCTCAAACAAGTGCCATCTTCTATATCTTAACCTCACAAACATGAACTGGTAATTTACTGGCCTGCTGCAAGAACCAGTTTGCAGTCAGGATCTCCACTTCTACTGGAGCCTTGAATCTGGGCCTCTCCTATGATATGGAACATCCCTGAGTTTAAATTGGAGTGCATGGGTATATATTCATCTTAGGTTCCTATTAGGTTTACTGAATGAGTTCCTTTTCAAAGTTCTATGCAGAACTGGCAGCTGCCAGTCAACTGAAACATAATGATTTGTAGTACATTTTTTTTCCAAAAACAAGTACCCCGTTTCCCAAAAAATAAGATCTAACATGAAAATAAGCCCTAGGATGATTTTTCAGGATGCTCGTAATATAAGCCCTACCCCCAAAATATGCCCCAGTTAAGTGAAACCCCACCCTTCACCATTGTGCAGCAACCAGAAGCAGATGACATGACTGTATTTGAATAAATGTAGATTGTTGTACATGAAAAAAATAAAATGTTCCCTGAAAATAACCCCTAATGCAATTTTGGAGCAAAAATTAATATAAGACCCTGTCTCATTTTCTGGGAAACACAGTACTACTGTAGTGTGTTCTCAGTAATTATGCATAGGACTGCAGCTTATGTCTCTATTGCAATGGTAAACAACCCATGAATGTCTCATGTACATGAAAAACACAATTAGATCACCTTAAGTCACAAACAACTAGATAGCACATAACACAACAAATACCTCTGAATGGGAGATGTCTGGAGTAGGTAGTAGGAGAGGATTATCACCATCCTGTTTGTGAGCTTCCAAAGTTATCTGCTTGGTTGTTACTGGGAACATACCATTTTAGACCCCTTAGGTTTGATCCAGCCATTTTCTTATGGGCATTTGTACACAGGAGGCGTATACGTAACAGATTCTGACTCTTGCTTCCCCTGCATCTTTGGTGCAAATGCACTATCTGCCTGTGCCAGAATGCTCAGTTGCTTCCCATTTCTCTCTGAAAAGAGTAATTTTATTTATTGAAATGATCAGATGTTAAGACAAGCAGAACAAGAGAAGACTCAAAAGACTACCCAGGAACATATGGAACTGTCTTATAGTGAGTCAGTTTATTGGGTCACCTAGCCTTGTACAATCAATTCTGACTAACTGCAGCTCTCCAGGGTTTCAGGTGGGATTCTTTCTTAGCCTACCTGGTGATTATGGCTACCCCCTGTAGCTTCATATCCAGAGCTACCTAGTGACTAGCACAAAGAGACCATGCTGTCCTCTAAATTTGAGCTGAGCTCACACACCCCAGCTCAGTCAATTTGCTGAACCTGCTCTGATTGAAGTAGTAAGTAGGCCTGAACCCCTTCTTAGGTTTTAAAGCCAAATATAAACAGATATACATCAGTGGACCCCAACCTTGGTCCTCCAGATGTTCTTAGACTTCAACACCCAGATATCCTGGCCAGCAGAGGTGGTGGTGAAGGCTTCTGGGAGTTGTAGTCCCAAAACATCTGGAGGCCCAAGGCTGGGGACCACTGCTTTACGTGTTACAACTTGCTGTGCCAACACAGGGGCATCTAAAATGGGATGTACTGTGTACAACAACAAAAATACAAACAATTATGTCAATGTCAGATATTTGGGACTGACATTAAACTGCACTATTTAAACAAAATCTGTCTCTGTTAACTGGTTAAGAATCTAAGAGCTCAGGAATACGCATTGGCCAAAATCCTGTTGCTTTGCATAATAAATCACACTAGAGTTGCCCCATTAAGTCAATGGGAATTTGGTGAGTCAATTCCTTAATGAGTTCTTGATTCAAAAGGGCCAACTCTTAACTGTGACTTACTATACTAAAGTAAGTCACAGTTAAACTAATGATTCAGTGGGCCAACTCTCGTGTGATTTATTATGCTTTGGCCACTCTCATTGGAGCATATTCCTTCTTTCTGCTTTCAGAATTACATTTGCACCACCAGCCTCGGCTAAATGAACTAGTAACACATTTTTAACCAATACTGGAAACTGCAAGTTG